AAGAATAAAGAAAAATAATGCGTTTTTTTTTTTAAACGAAGCATTAACACGTGTTAGACTGCACCCCATAAACACAATCAAGCCTAGAAAAAACCCAGTGAACCACCCTTTTAAGTTTAGGTAATACATGCTTTATAAGTACTAATAAACAGTCAATATACTAGTAATATGCATGATAAGAAGCAACTAGTTAATAGCAAGTATTGATCCTGAAACTGAAGTGTTACCATATATTTTATTAAATCCTTTTTTTTTTTTTAAATTATGCCATGATTTTTATTAAAAAAAATTTGAATGCAGAAATCCTTTCATTTATGCATGAATATATATATATATATATTTTAATGTAACCTCAAAGGACCACTTAGAAAATAAGGAGAAATAACAACAATTATTTTCATGAATATCCAGAATCATGAAAGGTAAAGCAAAAATGCATCTGAAATGAATCTGAATGACTGAATGTAAAGAGCAGCAGAGGAACAGAAAGAGACCGGGACAAAGGGATCGGTTTGCACAGACTGACTCTCTTCTCACATATATTTTCTATAACTGCCAACCACTGAAAATTAATCCCAGTGTCGAGATTTTTCTAGAAGTAGGAAAAAGCCTTTTCCTTTGAATGAGAAACGGTCTCGAGAAAAATACTAAATAAGTTGTGGCTTAGAGAGAGAGAGAAAACAATGTTTCTCTAAATCCATATATTCCCCCATTGATCAGTCCCTGGTGGAAATGTGTCTCGCTATAGACAGTAACGACCCTGATGTGCGTGGCTGGCATGTCTGTGTTTGTTAAATCTCACACTATCGATCTGGTCGAGGCTTCCTGAGTGCTGCTCAAATTCACTTCCAGCCGTCTTCCAGCCATCTCCTCGCCTCACTGCTGTGACCAGGCACAAAGAGAGCTCAATTAGCACGGCTCTCTCCCGCCTGCGCACTCCATCAGAATCACTCCATCAAACCACCCAGAGAGAGGGGGAGTGATACGACAGGGACACGCAGGCAACTTGGAGGCTTTATTTGCAATCAAAAGATGCTAGAACAAATGTTCAGCGTACATACATACATATAAGCGTATGTATACATACTGTATTCGATGCTCAGCATTTTCAATGCATGAAAAAAAATAAACATCTGTTGCCGACACACTGGCCCAGAATCAGATAATGTCAGAGCTCATATATTTCATTTTTCAGAAGTCTGATTCTGCATTGGGGCTTCAGTTGAAAATAAAATAAAAAAGAAAACGGTCAAATATTAAAACAATTGATTTTATTGTTGGCCTTCATATTCAATGCTATCTCAGAACTATTTGGTTCTACCATGCATACTGACATACAGTAGTGAAAATATCTAACATTTCTGTATGAACAATTTTACAGATGTAGAAATGTTCACGAATCCGTGTTTAATACATTAATATTGTATTCATGATTAAGGAGATTATGTTTTCAAATGCATTGAAATTATAGAATTTCACACTGTTCTGTGTCACTTCTGCTGATGACTTGTTTCAAGGGACTACATAATTCAAACAAGACTACACTTTAATATTCTAAAATCAATTCAATTTCTGTAATAGTTAAACCATTGCTTAATGTAACATGTATTTTGTTTGCCGTAGGACACAGCCGTTTTCTGAATATGCTGTGAATAAAAAATGACCACAAATGCACCATATAATTTGTTGTGTTGTGTGAGGACCCCAGTAGCTGCAAAAATCCTGCACTCATTAAAAACTCTAAATTTGCCACCTCAAGGAGCATTACGACAAAGGTTTTATGTCAGTGATATCAAATGCTCATTGGCTCTCTCTCGTGCCTCGTCGCTGTGTTTCAGGTGATGTTTGCTTTTGAATGAGACGTTTGGGAAAAATAATATATTATCAATCTGAAGTCACGTTTTCTCAACATTGCATCAACAGCTGATGAACAAATTAATCTTTATTTACCCTGCAGCTCCTTCACAAACCCCAGTTTGGGAAACCTTGACGTAATGTAA